ATAACAATAAATACTGCTGCAGCCTTCAAAATCAACGGGCAGGCATCACTAATAAAAACCAATATTCAAATACCAACAAAAGTTTCAAGAGCACATAAGTTTACAATACCGAAACGAATTTTCACGTACGAATGACAGTTAGACCAGAAAAGTTAAGTCTGCCATCTCGAATACGCCGATTGTGCACTACCGGTGACCTGAGATTTTGCAGACCTAAACTGCTGCGCCTGAGATGGTAATTTACCGGGTGTGTTAAAAGCCAGTTGCTGCGTCGTTGGCGGATGCTGTGTCACACCGAATGACATCAGATAACGATCTTCAGAATCTTGTTCTGCCTGTGCATACTGTGCCTGCGTAGAGTGGCCACCTCCAAACGGGCAAGCATACGAAAGATGATCATAGTTACCGCAATTAGAACATCCATTAACCTGGCCTGGCGCATCGGTGAGTCGAAGGGTTGACCGGTTCGCATTACCCGTTAAGTAATTCTGAGAAAGATCGTAACTGCCCTGTGATTCGTTATTCTCCTGTAAACACTTTATTTGTTCAGCAAGATGCTTTAGTCTTTCATCCAAACCTTTCATCAGGTTATGAGCGACAATCTCTATCTGATTAGAGCTGGGCGCTGTCGGTTGGCTGTATAGCGACAAGAGATTTGACTGATCTGTAACATTATTGGACGCCTGGTATGACGAATTTTGATTCTGCATCGCGAGCTTGTATTGTTGCTTAACGGACACATCACGTAAACGATTCAAAAAATCAGCTACGGTTCTGGGGCTGTTAGCACGAATGCCGGTTTAAATTCAAGAGGCAAGGCTTCGAAGAGACGAACTGTTTTTTCTGCTTCGGTAGCTGCGGGATTAGTGGCTTCCACGTAATCAAGGACACGATGGACAAAAGTACGAGGATCTGTAAATGCTAGTGTACGGCAACCTTCATTCATGAGATCGAGTTCAAAATGGGTTTTTCCAAAAGCTGTTAAAAAATGGGATCGAAGGTCTGGCCATGTGATACCTGCTGGTTCTGCGGTATACCAGCGAAGAGCGTTGTTCCTCAAACAGACCGCAAAATGTTGAATTCTGTTAGCTGGTGTAAAATTATTAGCAACTGCCATCGTCTCAAACTGTGTTAAAAAGTCCTGGGCGTCTTCGTAAGAAAAACCACCAAATTTCGGCAAATCACCCAATTCCAGAGATGTTATGCGGGTAACTGCAGCGACATTTTGATTATTTAAAAATTTAGCAAATTCTGATGAGCGGTTGCGTTATTTTGCAGGCTTTGCTGTAAAGTTGCATTCTGCTGAGCGGCAGTGGCATTAACGGTGTTAAGAATATTCTGCAGTGCTTGCGGGTCTATAGCCATGATATTGACTTGCTGGTAATTAGTACTTATTAATTATTGCAGACAGCCTGCTAACTGCGGAAAGTTGACTATACGATCGTTAATTAAATTTCTTAAAAAATGGCGCGTTACGGAATTTGAAAACAGTATTAGGATCGGTAATAGTTAAAATTGTTCTTTTTGGGAAAAAAAATTGGACGCGATACATAAGGACTTACCTGTCGAAACAGGGAGGCGGAGGGGTAGCGGTGGTAAAAAATAAAGGGCACTGAAACTATCGACTTGAAAAAAATTTTCGTTCTCGGTATGCGACTCCAAGTATAACGGGCGACGGAACCGGCTGATACTGCTCGAAATATTGCTAACCCAACGACTGAAGATACCGCAGGGAATACATCGCTATATATACTGAACCGCTCGTACAGGAACAGGAAATACAAGAGGCGGGACAACCAAGCACATACTCGTACATACTAATACATGAGACAGGAATCCCCCCGGTTACAGCAAGATCCCGTAAAGCTGAATTTCGGCCGTTTCGGCTTTGCTTCTAGTGCTAATGGAAAGCACTTTACTATTTCTTAATTTATTCTGTAATATAACTCACAGCTTCAATAAAGAGTGCGGTATGCGACTTTGATGAATGTAGAAATAAACAGGTGGAACGGCAGTTACCGATTTCAAAATTCATTAATAAATTCAACAAAAAGTGTACGATACAGCAGCACAACCATGATCCATCGGGTCATCCATCAAGCAGCGCTTAGTGCGCATAAATCGGGTTTCGGCCAAGTTTACCTTTACCGCCGCAGAACCCTGTATGTTCCAATTATTTTATCGTTGAAAATACCGTGTCAAAAAGCCTTTGCCATTAAAAAAATAAATCGCCGTTAACACATCGCCTTTTCTAAGCCTTTTCAATGTTGTTTCCTAACTAGCGCTTTTATAAAACTGTTAACACAGGTTGGATATTTGAGGAAGGTATAATCATACACGCAACGAATAATTTCACCGCTTCATTCTTCGTATCCAGAGCGAAGCGGCTCGCTGCCTCTAGGTTTGCGTTCTTTCACATTCGATTTGCCTGCCGCAGCAGTAATTCCGCATTTTGGCGCGCAGTTACGAGGTTCTTTTAATCGAACCTGGATGCTATGTCATCCTCGTCGCCCTATTTTAAATTTTAGGCTTGTACATGTGGTTTGGAAAGTTCACTTGATATGCAGCAGAGGGGTAACGACGAATCTTTCCAGTGCATTAGAAGTTCTGATTGAACATTTGTGAGCTATATGTAGCCATGCAAAGCCACCCCTTTGTTTTTGAGATGGTGAGACTTGTGTAGAACGAAGTGATTATGAAAATTTCCGGACAATGTCATACATACATGTTGCATAATACTATTAATTTTATGTACAAGCCTGTCCGTGTAATGAGCACGTAAAGGTACAGCTAATGCATATTTAGCGCTGAGCACGATGGCAAATTTTACGGGGTTTCATGTGTTGACGTATGTGACAGACCGGAATTGCCCATTTTCAAATGTTCTTCTTCCCTTTTGTAACCCCACGAGATGGCGATAAATCATGTCGCCAATGCACTCATGTCTCATCACCCTGGAAATCCACGAGTGACTTAACTGTAAACCGTGGAAGGTTGCACGCCTGTCGAAAAGCGACATCTGCTGCAACGCGCATAACAGGCAACAAGGGATGGGGGAATAGGTTGCACTATGGGCAAGGGACTGTATGGAGCCAATTCGACTCGATGAAATGGGTGCACTGGAGACGTGACCTAACGCTTACGTTCATTTTAAAGAGTTCTCCCAAATTTTTAGCTCTGACCGAAAAGGATATCGCTGGCATCATCATCGGCTGCGCATTCGGTGTGTTATTTCTCATCATTGGCGGTGCATTCTGGTACTACAAGAAAAGAAATTGCTGTGCCTGACCGACCAAGGTTCGACAATGCGAAAATCGAAAGAATATTGGCTTCTTCTTTGCCGCATAGTTAACGTACTTCATTTATCCAATTACGTTACACATTTAACAATAAACTTACCGGTATAATTATTACATTTGTATTTCCGATACTTATATTATTCATACTTCTGTTTATTTTTTATTTTTCTACTTTTTTATTTTTGCACTCATTGTTCTTTGTTTCGTTCTTTGTGTTCTCTGTACAAAGTAACTATGAGTCTATGACTTCACGCTGAATAGTGCAACTGTGACTAGTACCAATGCGTGTTAAAATACAGTATAATGCAAGCAAGCAATTTAAGCAAGTCTTATATTTAAGCAAGTCTTCCCGACCTGACTTTAAATGCCGGTAATAAAAGTATTTTGTAATTCCATACAAAAGTTAGTTCGAAAATGCGCATCTTTCAACAGGCCCGCATCTCGGTGTCTGCATCGGCATGTGGTGCCCCCATCCCGGCCGCAACTTATGCGCTATTGAAGTGTCACGATGGGATAGTCAGTTCATCTACAACACCGATGCCAGTGTGTCTGCAGCCCATCATCGGCGTGGCGACATACGTCGGACATTCGGTGAATTTCTACATTAACTTGTTGACCTAACGTCAGTATCGCCGTCGCTTTATGGAATTGGTCGTCCGTCCCGCATGCCCGCGCGCGCTATGTTGCGTCAATAAAATGGACCCAGGGCGCAGTAATCATTCTGTGACACCTACGAATTCGGACGCCCAACGAACACAACAGACCACGTCGCTTTAAGCGGACAACGGGGCGATATAACTGACAAATCATAAACTGTATGGATACTATTTGTACGTAGTACTACCAAGCAAGCGCAGGCGATGACTTCCGCGGGCGTCCGCGCTTTTTCTATTTTCTGGGCTGTTCTTTCCTGTCCGGCAATAATAAGGTACTGCCGGGACCCTCACAAGTTAGATCACAGAGTTGGCGCATAGGAAACCAGCACTGGCGAATGCGTGTACTGCAGGTTTCTACAGTACCTAGTTCTAGATCTTTCTTACCAAGAAAAAAAATGCATACACCAGTGCCGGTATCCCAGACAAAATCAACAAAAACCACCACAGAAAGCCCACGTTCTAAAACGCGGCCAGATATTGTTCGTTTTTCAAAAAAAAATGCATTTGAGCGACCAAACAAATAACCTCAACAAGTCGGGTCTGCCATATATAGTTGAGGTACATCCATATTTAAGAATAGTGCGTATATACGTAAGAAATTACTGTTGCTACGTTTAGAAGCATTAAGCCTACGTCATTTCTTGTATACTGTACTACGCTCACATTGCACAATACTACACACATTGCAAGTGCTAATTTCCCGTGCACCAGCTCTGTGGTGGGGATTGTTAGGATTACTGCAGTAAGTCCGTTCGTAGTTTGTTCTAGCAAGGACTCAGTTAGCACAACAATAACGTGTTACGAGCAGTTTCAGCGAAATTACAGATGAATGAGATCTTGTAGAATTACCGTACTGAATTTGATCTGTCTCGCGAACCAGGTGGAAATTTAATTCCTTTTATGGGCAAAGCTGGGCGTAGTCGCAAAATTTTGAAGTACAGAGTATGTCTTAAAAGGAACAGGACCTTCTGTTATCACAATTAGTTATGCAGAAGGGTAGGAATAAATATTCACCTCGTAACAAACCGTAATTTATTGATGGCTTTACTGTACAGTAGCATCGAACAACACCGGGCGCAAGTTCACAGTCCGTGTTGCTGCGACAACTTGCATGCCTAAAAGGCTAAAACTGTTCTTGAATAAGTTCAACAAGGCTTTAAGACATCGATAACGACGCACGGTATAAATAAGATACAGCCTTTTCACCTTTCAGGATACCCCATCAATATCATTCGGGTTTATTTACACAGATCGACATAATGTATTTAATACTTTGTCCTTAATGTTTCTTATGCCGGAGAAGCACGTGTTAAAATGCAGATACAGATCCTGATACACCGTCTGATTGCGATCGGCCACCAGAACCCGCACAAAGGAGGTACTGTAATCCATAACTTTATCGCCGTTCCATTTCGACGGGCACATCTGCAGATCCGCCCACTCATGCAGCGGCGCACGGGCAATCTGCTGCAGCGTGTCTAACTTGGGGTCCATTTCGGCAAACATCGGAATGGAATCGTTGAGGTACACCCACCGCAGATTGCGGAAGCGGTTAAATAGCTGCGGATCGACGCAGCCTACCGGAAGATTCCCGATACTGAGATGTACCAAATTGCGACCTTTCCCATCACCAAAGATCTTCAGCGGCATGGAGCTCTCCGCCAGACTGTTGTCGTGGACGAAGAGCGCAGTGAGACTCGGTAGCATATCGAAAGCACCTTTATCGATGAGTAGTAGTTTATTCGCGGAGATGTCCAAATCTTCCAGATTATCCAGCCCGGTAAAATCTCTGGGTCCGATGGAGAATAAAGCGTTGTGTGCGAGGTTTAGTCGACGTAAGCTTTTCAGAGGAGAAAACGCGCCTGACCCCGTCGATTGCAGCATGTTGTATTCCAAATCGAGGTATTCCAGTCCCGTAAACGGGGTGAAGTAGACGCCCTTTCCGTGGAGGAAGGCGATTTTATTGTATGCTAGATGGAGCACGCGCAAGGCTTTCGCGCTTGCGTCACTCATTTTCTGCAAAAACAAGATTAATTACATTAGGAAAAAAACGGTTGTTATACTGTATATGTAATCAGCGCTTCAGCCAATAATTGGTCATTGTAATGAAATTCGCTTTCTGAAGTGTTACTGAAAACAATCATCGGGCAGGTTGAGCTGCGCGACTGCTAGCGAAACATTAGCCTTTGCATACAAAATGAGTTTTAAGTGAAACACGTAAGTATTCTACGCGTTTTTTGCAAAAAACGAAATTTCTCATCGTTAAATAACGTGGCCCGGTCCGTGACCTTTGCTGACGTACTTCTTTCTGTTCTGTTGCTGCAATGATTAAACATTTTGTCACATACTTTGAGTTTATTAAAGAAGTTCGCCCGGATAAACGCTCGGTTCATGTACAGTTCACGGATTGTCGGGAACCCCACAAAAGCATCCTTTTCGATCAGCACACGATGGCTTTCTTTTCGGGGACAGAACGACAAATTCAGCATCTTCAACGTCGGCGGCAAACCATTAAAATAATCTTTGGTGATGTCCATATAATCATTGCAGCTCAAGTCGATGATCTCTACTTGTGCCATGGACAAATAATTCGCCGACATCAAACTTATTCGCTTGTTTCGCGCTTGACTGATAAACTTGAGTTTGGGGAAGAATTGCGACTTATTGGTAAACAGCGGCCGGGAGATGGTATTACCGCCTAAATCGTAGTGCATCAGATTCCGCGCCCAGTTTTCATAACCCCATGGATTGGTCTTCAGGCTGTTATCGGATAAGTCCAAATACGAAAAATTCTTCGCTAAAAGACCGTCGAAAAAATCCCTGTCTTCGATATCGCGTAACTCATTCCCGTCCAGCCGGAGGATCTCCAGATTCGGCAGTCCCCGAAATATTCCCAGTTTATAAATGGGAAGACCTGTGTGCCCCAGATCCAGTTCCACGAGGTTATTAAAATTAGCAAAAATGTTCTCCAGTGTAATGTAATTCTCAAAGTAGCTGCCGCGCAGTGATAACCGCCGAATGGGCTGCAGTAGATCGAAGTTCTTCAGCGCCTGCTTCCCAATGGGAAAGGCGTTATTGGAGATCTCGATTTCGGTATCATTATTTACCACCATGCTGTTGATAATCTGCCGAAAGATGAAGACGTGGAAATCAACATCGGTCGATTCGAAGGTGTTGTTGGTGATGAGGAGGCGTTTCAAGGCTTTCTGGGTGGTGAAGGGTTGGGGATTGCTGTCCATTCGGCCGATGTCGACATGGCAGTCCAGGATCTCGATGGTGGTCAAGTTGGGGAAGGTGATAAAGTACTGGTCCAGGAAGTGGATGGTCTGGTCGTGGATGCGGAAACGGGTCATGTTGGGAAAGCGCTGTTCGCCGGTGTTCGCAGCGTAAAACTCCACGATACCGGTGCGGCGCAGTTCGATGCTTTCAACTATAAAAGAAACACAATGTTTTAGCTTATAAAAACGTTTCTCGATGGAATTTCCACCTCAGCAGATCCTGTTTTTACATATTTATAACTTATTTAACAACCTTTGGAGTTTACCAGCAATAGTTTTCAGATTTCATTTTACTGTCTGAAGTTTCACAATTCCAGAAACTGCTGATCATGTTCATAAAGGTAATAATTTATCAGGCTACAGCAGCAAATATTGAATGTTTTTGCTAAAGTCGTTCGAATTTGTGATTTATCAAATGTTTTATCTGTACGGTTTTAACCTGGGTGTTTTCTGTCCGTTAACCTCTGTGATTCATTTTTTCCACACTTAATTACTTGTCTCGCCTATTCTGTGGCGCTAATACAATTTGCACGTGATTTGATTAAAGACAAGATTCGGGCGAAACCGCAGGCACCGTATGCGCTACCGGCACTCCTGTTTACCCTTCGGTTTTAAAATTTGAGCACAGACCCAAGAAAACCCTGTGGTTGTACTCTTACTGCTTTGTGGCAGCAGTTCCACGGGGAAATATTTCAGTTTCGGCGCATTCTGTATGGTTAATCTTCGCAGCACCATCAGCGATTTCACTTCCGGGAACATCTCGAGATTGTCCACATTCTGCATGTCCAACTCCACCAGAGAGTACTGGACATCCAGGAAGCTCGTCCCACCCAGACGCTCGATGGCCGGGGAATTCCATATGTGCAGAGCGAAAGAGACATTCAGACCGGCGAAGATCTGCAGATCCGACTGCAGCTGATTGCCGTCGGTGTTCTCGCAGACAACTTTGTATTCATCCTGTGTGGTGCAATCCACAAAGCATAAACCGGATGGCAAATGTGAACAGACAGACGTCGTGGACTGTACTGAAACGAGGGTTAAAAAAAGGGGAAAAAGCAGCATGTCCGCACGGAATAAATACGTTATACGATAGACTTACATATAGATTTGCAGTTTAAAAAAAGGTGTTAATGGCACACGGCAAAATTGTAAAAATGTACTCGCGTATGCGATGAAGTTGCAAGGCGTGCTGAAAAATTGCGGTATGTTGTGTGCCTTAAGGCTACTGTAATGAAGAGTTATTGAAGAAACTCCGCTCAACGTTGTAGTCGAGATAAGTGCCGCCGGTACTTTTTGCAACACAGAAAATGTGACAAAGTATGACTTTGACAGCAGCATAATTTTCCTCATGGGAGGTGCTAACTGAACGCTTGTATTGCCGCCGTACTTACTGAATATAATCTTTTTGGCGCTTAATTACGATTGGCGCAATTGTGGTCAGCTAACAGAATTATTAAAAATAACCAAATTAGAATTAAATTAGCAAAAATTAAAATTATTTATCAGTTTCTAAAACAATTCGAAGAAAAGACGCTTTTTAAATGGCAATAAGCTGACTGTGAGAAATTTTTGTATGTTTAGAGAAAACAGAGTAAACGTGGCACTAACACGAAAGAATTGAAAACGGTCTATCGAAAAACGTTTTCACGTATTTGAACCTGCAGAAAATACCGTGGATCGAATATACAAAACTGTACGAATGAAAAATGTCAAATGAGAGGACCGCACCACGTAAAAATTTATTGAGCAAAGCACACTGAACACGCGGGTGAGCTTCGATCTGATTAGCAAATAACGTTAGTGACATTCTTAATATTCCTCTTTCCCGGCACATAGCAAATCTCAAAATGCGCAAACAAATCCTGGTAGACAAGCTGTTTGGGATCACTAATCTGGATCATCATATAATTAACCGTCCCCTTGGGCAAATACTTGCTGGATAGCGGTGTCCTGCAGTCGGCTTTATCGGCCCACCTGTGTACGTGGTACTTAGCTTTCTGCTGATTGACATTCAGTTTCGTATCCATATCCACCAGCACCGAAATACTGCCGTTCATGTACAGCCACTTAAGATTGCGGTACAATACAAAAAACTTGGGATCCAGGCAGGGCACCGGCATATTGCTGATATCCAGATGAATCAGCGCATCGGCCTTATTCTTGCTGAACAGATCGGTAATGTAATTGATGTTGTTCGAGCCGAGGATGAGCGCCTGCAGTGTGGGTACCACATCGAAGGCATACTTGTCGATAATGAGAATATGGTTGCGCGCCAGATTTAAACTGATTAAACTGTCCAGTCCGGCGAAATCTTGGCTCTTGATGGCGAAGATGGAATTGTCGGCCAGGTTGAGTTCGGTTAGGTTGCGGAGACCCCTGAAGGCGTTTGACCCGATGGACTGCAGGGTGTTGTTGTTTAGGTACAGCTGCTGTAGTCCAGCAAAGGCCTCAAAGTAGGAACTGTTCCGCGGAAGGTAGGCGATTTTGTTGCCCTGGAGGTGGAGGCCCAGCAGTCGCTCTTTCCGTGGTATGTACTATAAAAATCACATTGAGTCTCATGGTTATGCTTATGTACAGCCAGCGATTATTGCGCACAACGGTCATATCGTAATCGTCGCCTCTGTATTGTACTATAGTTGACGATGATACGATGGCCTGTGTTGGGGAGCAGCGGACTCGATGATCGCAAAGCAAAACTTGAGATCGAAAAGAAAAAATTAAAAGTCCTGGTGAGGCTGAAGATGTTTCATGGGAAAAGTCTATCTAACCGATAATCCTGGGCGATAACCGAAGGTCACGCGTAACCGCCACTACAGAATTTATGCAATTTCTTTACCCTTCAAAAGAGTTCATCATTGCTAATTATCGTAACCAGATAAACCGATCTAGATCTCTCTATTTTTTGGAATAATCTCTCCCTTTCAATGTAACCATTAAAACGACAGATAAGTTTTCAGTTTCCTGACAATCCGCGTTACCACCTTATGGGAACCCTACAGTATGTGAAACGCAAGCGAACCACCAACTTAAGCAATTCGCAAAAAAACAGGTAAATCAGTAATATAATCCCTAGTATTATTTCATACTCGTGCACAAGCCAATGAAGCAATTATAAATCAAAAAAATAGTCGATAATTCCTTAATTGTTTACTGTGCTCTCAAGCGTGAAATTCCTTTCTCACGATCAGAAAACTTCGGAGGCATAGTAGCATTTCGTAACTCGCAATTTGATTCCTTTTGACCATAAAAGTGCTGATTATTCGGTATTAGCTGACTCGGTTTGCATTGTAATTTTTCGAGTTATCGTATTTTCGAGTTATCGTATTATGACGTAATTCTGATGCTTAACTCGCTACCAAAAAACTTAACTCTAACGTAACTCGCATAAAACTTGTTACGTGTGGTTGGGCGGTCTTTCACAAAACTTGGTTTACTTGCAATAAAATGCGTAATCACTCCTGATTCACTCGTAGGGTCGCTCACAGCTCTCTGTACTTGTACAGTTGTACTTAACTTTTTAACTCTACCAGTGGGTACTGTTACATAATCCGTATTCATCCATCAGGTCTGTTTTGGATGAATTAGAAAATCGATCAGATATCCTTTCTACCGCCTACTGTAGCGGTTTCACCAGGTTTTGCTCGTCGTTAATTAGTACAAGTACGGAATGGTACCAGTACTACAGTACTAAGAGTACGGATCTGTAGTTATAGTAGCACTAACTAATAATACACGCTTTTGGTAATGAATCTCTGAAAAGTTTTATCGATTGCTTGACATACCTGTAGCTTGGTAAAAATATTGCTGCGCAGATACGCATTGGCAATAACCAGGGTTTCTAAATTTATGGGGAACGTCTTGAACGCATCTTTCATAATCACGGGTCGTTTCCGTTCCGCCACACCGCATGATGACAAATTCAGCGTCCGTAGACTATCCGGTAGGCCAATAAAATACGTACTGGTAATATTGATGAAAGTATTACAGCTCATATCCAGCTTGCGCAAATTGAGAAACTTCGAAAAGGACTCCGAAACAAAGGAGGCCTTCTTGTTGTCGGCCAGCGAGACATTCATCAGCTTAGTAAAATACTGTGTCTTATTGGGGAAGGTCCGGGAGCTCAATTTGTTCCCGGTCAGATCGAAGGAGATCAGATTCGGACCGAAGGCCTCATAGCCCTGTGGCATGTTGTTCAGCTCGTTGTTGGACATGTCGAGGAAGGAAAGATTATTGGCTTGCAGGCCTTCGAAGATATTGACACTGCCCAGCATTCGCAGCCGGTTGCCATCCAACCGTAGCTCTTGCAAATTGGGCAGATTGGCAAAGACGCCGGCTTTGAGATCCGGGAGATCCGTATGGCCCAGGTCGAGATATTTGAGATTCGTAAAATCCCGGAAGATCCCTTGTAGGGTGTTGTAGTCCTCAAATAAACTCCCGCGTAGGCTTAAGCGTTGGATTGCTGATATGCGGGAGAATTCTTTAACCTGTAAAAAAACAGTGAACTTGAGACACTTTGTTTTAAGTTCATTTCCGTACTATGGCAGTAGCCGGCGCACGGTGCAATCGCCCAGCGGGTCTTCGATTTTTTCGTGAGGGCTAAGGCGTTTACGTTCTGGAGCGCAGTACACGCTAATACGCCATTCCGGACCAGTTATTACGACTTTGCTTCCTCTAGATAAACCAGTTTGGTTGTTTAGCCAGCCTAGGTCTCCTTGGGCGTTGTTCGTTAAATGTAACATTTTTTAATCGAAAGCGGCGTGAGTAGCGCCCAAACAGCCTTCAACCGGCATCTTTCTCGCTTTTGCACTTTTGCCATGCCACAGTTTTTAAACAACTGCCACGACTTTACTTCCTCTAAATGAACCAGCTTCGACTTCTCCCATTCAGTTCTGCCACACTCCATAGTTCTGATTCGTCCGTACCCTTTTAATATAAAAGAGAAATTCCATACCGAGTGCTTGCCAATGGGAAAATCATTATTGACCAGCTCCACGGCGGAACTGGCGTTGACCTTTATACTGGTGATCAGGACATGGAAGAGCTGCAGCTGGAAGCCAGGTATGGTGGATTCGAAAGTGTTGTCGGCCACATACAGTCGCCGTAAGGGGTTTTCTGTGGCGAAGGGCTCTGGATGGGGCTGTGTGAAGACAATGTGGTTGCCGGTGGCCGTGATGGTCTGGATGTTGGGAAAGCTCCGGAAGAAGCCGCTGAGAAATTCGATGCGCTGATTGCGAATGGTAAAGTCACTGACGTTGTACCACTTCTCCGTGGAAATTTCGGTGGGTGGATTGTCGGCGGAGGATGTGGTGAGGGCGTTGCTCGCAGTGTCCGCCGCGGATGTACGGTCATTGATGAACTGCGTGATGCCAGTCTGTTCGATCACCACGATTTCCACTGTAAATCAACAAATCAACACCGAATATTATAGACTGACTGTTACTAAAGCCTATGACAATATCAATTTTTCGAAAGAAAGTCCGATTTTCTGCTTTTCAACAGGAGGTTTGAATAGGGCAACAGTGCATCTGAATAAGCGCCTAATGCTTAATTAATTAAATTAATCAAATTAATTAAGCATTAGGCGCTGAATAAGTGCCTAATGCTTAATTAATTTAATGCACACTTCTACGGTAATTTAATTAAGTGGAAATCCTGTGCTTTAGAAATGCTGCCAGAAATTCGTTTACGGAAGTTTTACAAAACTACTGTAATTAAACTTATTACGAAAATGACCACAATTTAGGATGCCCTTTTATGCGCTTGTTCTTAATTCAGCGAAAACAAGAACTGATGACATAAATAAACTTATGTGATTAAAGTTGTTTTATATAGCATTTGTTATTGCTGACAATAAAACGCAGTACAAATAAACCGCGGAAAAAAATTTTGAAAATACTTTGGGAAAGTATTACACATTGAATTATACTGCAGTATAGGCTATGAACACTCAAAGTATTCTGATAAGCTTTTCAGCACTTTACAATTAACAGCTGCGGTAATTTACAGTATACACTTCGTTCCAAAATACGTGCTGCACTTCCGCGCATATGCACGGTGGTCGGAAATTTCTTTTTTACGACAAAAAAATACTTATTCGTTTGCAGATATAACAATAATACGGAGTACAGATATTGTCCGTGCATACATTATACGTACATTAGACTTGCATCGGAAGTTAAACTGGTTTTGTACAAGTATCGTTATTTTGTGTTCATAATGTTGACACTCTGTGCAAGTACTCGTACTAGTGTTTGTTTTACCGCTCATAGGCATCAAATCCATAGGCAAATACTTGAGTTTGGGTGCATTCTGTATGACCAGCTCCCGCAGCAGCACCAGTTCCGACACTTCCGGGAACATGTACAAATTCACCACATTCTGCAGATGCAGTCCGGTGATCAGCTTCTCCACATCGGAGAAGATATTCCCGCCCAGCAGATCAATACTCGGCGAATTCCAGATGTACAGCTCAAAGCTGGCGTTCAGTCCCGCAAAGAGCGCCAGATTGTTATGCAACCCGTTCCCGGTGACATCTTCGCAGACCACGCGGTAGGTCATATTCTGGGAGCAGTCCAGATAACAGGCATCCGTCGGCATCGACGGGCAATCGGCCTTTAGTAAACCGAATATTAAGAAAGAAAATAAAATTAGGCAGGACCGTAGGTGGTTCCGTTGGAGCAGCGGAATGGGCATTTTTATTGCTGTCTTCGCGCATGTCATCGATATTTACATAAATCGGGGTTTCGCGTGATAATTAAACAGGTACGAACCAGTTTACTACAGTAGGCCTTGAATTTTTCCCGTTTACATGTACAGCGCAGCGTGCTGTGAAACTTCACTACAGTGGAAATGTTGCTGCATCCTCCGGGCGAAAAGCGCTCGCGCTGCAGCTGCCTCGCGGGGATTTCCAGTCGAGAATTCTCCGCAATCAGGCACATGTAATCTGCTATTGGCCGGGTTAATTATAGCAATAATTACCGATGATTTCATGCTATTTATTCGACTGACAGCCATTAATGCAAAATAGTCTATGAATTATTGTAATAATAATTTTGACACCGGCCTGTATAATTAAATTAAGCAGCCGTCGTCGCGATCGCGTCGATGTCGTTAATCATTAATTTTTGTACAAAGTAGTTTGTAAGCGATAATGATTTTCATGTAGTTGAGTTGCTCTCGTAATTATTTTTATTCTTCTCGCTCCTAAAGTAGTTTTTCTTTTCAGTTTTAGCAACGGGCAAATGAATTTAACTGAGCCGTCGATTTAACTTTAACGACAAATCAGCCAGTCTATGCATACGTAGCCGATATTGTGCACGGACGCCAAGGGCGGTGGACAACAGAGCAGGCTTAAGCAACGAATGACTGGCGCAGACGCTGCGAGTCGCAAGCTGCATGTATCAAACGGCGTTCCCGCACCGGAAGCACTGAAATACCGCGCAAGCAGCAATCAGTCAAAATCGCTTTCCAGTTTCTGAGTTTCACTTTTATTGTTAGACTGATGTTTCCGAAACTGCGATTTATTTTTCGAGTAACCTGGGTGCTTTATTTTTCTGTTGGTGGTATAATTTACATGTCTGTATAATTATGGAAAATACATGGCTCTTAAAGTTTTCTATAATTCCCTTAGATGATTATATTTGCTGAGTTCTACACGTGAAGCGTCGTCTCGTTTCGGTCCATAAATTTCCCTTGCAAAGCCAGTAAAGGGATAAATTCCGTGCTGGCCGATGGATGCGATTATTCTGGTATGAATCTAAAAATTTCCACTCCACATCGGTTGTATTTTTCTGCAAAGACGATCGACGTTAATCTGGCGACGAATGCTGTAATGGAAATTCTTTGGCAGAGCATGCTGCGTCCGTTCCCGCGGGGCGGTTGCTGCTTGCGGCAGCGCGTTCCCGGCTTCTCCACGCTGGCCGCCCGCTGCGCTCCCCCGCAGCATGATCCCCGTGCGGAGTGGCAGCTGTCGGAGGAGTCCCGCGAACGACTGGCTCGCCAGAAACGCCATCCGGGCATGCTGCGGACGGGCATGGTGGACCTGCCAGTGGATCTCAACCTGGCCATCAACCGGGTCTTAATGAGTGCGTAGAATTCCCCTGCTTTTGGCCTACAGTATCCTGCCTGCATTGTGGTTTGGTGTCTAGAGTTTGATGCGCGGAATATCCGACAGGATGCGCAGCAGTTCCGCCAGCAGATCCTGCACCGTGTACCAGCGCCCGAGCAGAAGGATATCAAGGCGCGCGCCAGCAAGCTGGAGCAGGAATATGTGCGGCAGCGTAAGGAAAATTTATGATGGAACACTGGAACACTGTGTTTCATGTTGATCAGCAGCTAATTTGTATTTGTTTGGGAATTATTTGCTTTTCTACCTTTGCCAATAGTTTTGATTTGTATGATTTATGAAATAATTAAAAATCCCGTTTTGCGTTTTGTCTTTATTTTCCTTGTGTCTTTATGTCATGAAAATTATGATTTCTCCTTTATTTAGTAAAATAAAATCCGCAATACGCTTATAAATTTGACATTAATTTATCTGTAGTTTTACGATGGTGTAGAGTCTTAGTAGGGATACATTCACCAGTAGTCTTTATACGGTGAAAAAGTATTTTGAAATCTGTTAGTATTTCTTATATCGTACAGTAAATAAGAAATACGTTTTTAATTCGAAATTTATTTGTGGTTTTTAAGCGAGAAAATAAAGAAACCAGGCATTTTTAGATCTATATTCGCCGGTAGATTTTACACGTGAAATAAATAATATTAAAAATACAATTTTATTTATGAATGCAATACAGTTTTAAGGAAAAATACAATTTTATTTGTAAATGCAATACAGTTTTAAGGAAAAATACAATGTTATTTGTAAATGCGGCCAGTTGTGTACAGCGTAAAATAAGTGTATTTGTGTAAGGTTCTGCTTCCAAGAAGGTACACTCTGGTACAGTATACACTTTGCAGATGATCTGCCAACCCGCCGTTCCCGCTTGACCGATTCGGAGCGGCTGCAGATCCGCGCGCAGATCAACGACGTCGTGCTGCCCAAGCTGAAATCGGAGTTCTACCAGTGGAAGCGCGTCGAGTACACCCCGTACCGTGCCGCGCTGTACCTGGCCACCCGCTACCCCGAGGAATTCCAGATCATGCGGCGCATCTTCACGGAACTGCAGCGCCGTGTCCACGATTTCGCCCCGACGACGCTGTTTGACTACGGGTCGGGTGTGGGCACGGTGGCCATGGCGGCCAACGAGGTGTTCAAGGAGAGTATGCAGGAGTACTTTTGCGTGGATTATTCGCCGGATATGAATGATATTGCAAGGGCCATTGTCGAGAACGGCGGGGAGGGACGCGAGCCGTTGCTGAAGAAGGCATACTTCCGCCAGTTCCTACCCGGGAAACATGACGTGAGTGATTATAACTTCTTTTTCCGACGTTCAGCGTAACAGATCTACGAGTTAATCTGCGTTGGTATTCTGCTTAGTATTAGTGATTTTTGCAGCTGCTATTTCTAATAAGTAATAAAGTGTGGTATTTATGATAATCAGTTGAAACATAACTTAATCGTACTAAATTTACGAAACGTTTTTCGTTTTCTTGGAATTTAATTGGATTGATTTTTCTGTTTAATCCTCGCGGTGTGCAAATGATCTAGTTTTGTTTCGCTTTCCAGTTGGCTTATTGAAACAGTCGTATCTCGATTATCTTCTCATGCTTTATTGAAAAGTAATAATTAGTATAAAATTTAATTTTTCGAAAAATAAATTGTGATAAAATTTCTAAATTCCTGGTATTATTTTAGATTTAATTTTTATGGTGGTTTCTTAATTTGTTGCGTGTGTTATATGAATCTTTTTTTGACCAGCCGTTTGAATAATTTGCCAGCAGGTTTATCTGCTGAATTTGTCTTCGTATTATTTGTTAGCATATTAAATACAGAATACACCTATACTTCTACGGAATTCAGAATTTTATACAGAATTTTTTCTTTATACAGAATTTTCAGGGAAATTAAAATTCAGAAATAATTAGCGCAGATTTTGACATGAAATAATTTGGGCTTTCGTGTTTCCGCGTTGTTACACGGCCTGTTTTCACAGCGCACATTCGATATCGTTACCTCTGCCTTCACCTTGATGGATTTGGGGGAATCTCGCGATCGTTTGGAAGTTGTACGGATGTTGTGGCGGAAGACGAATCGTTTTTTATTCTCGTGGAACAGGGAAACACGCTGGGCTACCGTACGATTATGGAGGCCCGCGATCACATCCTGCAGATCGACCGCGACAGCAAGAAACCTGTGAGAAACCCCGTGATTAAGGAAAGTGTCGGAGGCGGCCGTGTCTTCGCTCCCGTAAGTTGAACATCGATGTTTTGTTACAGTGTTTTCTGAGTTTTGTATTTCCACCCAGGTCGATATTCATTTAGGAAAGAATGCTTTCTGCGTTATGAATTTTTAGAAAATAATAAATGCCTAATTTAGATTTAGAATAATTTTTAGAAAATAATAATTTTTAGAAAATAATAATTTTTAGAAAATAATAATTTAGAAAATAATAAGTCTTTTAATGCGGTGATCTTCTCGCATTAGTTAATCGACCAGTTTCACAGTGAAAACGTTTTATTTTCAAGTTTATCTAATCTAATGTAAAGTTCCTCGCGTTTTCAATGCCGCAACGGCCTTGGTGCAGTTGGTGGTTGCTGTTTTTACTGCATACGAAGGACATGCATAAAATAATAAATTTTACAATGAATTTTGATTTTCCGATAATGTAGGTTTTTCAGGAATTTTTTGTTGCATAGTATTTGGTGTTCACGAATTTTAAAATAAATGCTGTTATCGTTTTGTTATGCTTCTGTCCAGATCTGAAATCCTGTTAATTTTTTGTTGAATTTTAATTTTATTGTAATTACTTTTTTTATTTTATTTGCTTACCGGTTTTACATGCTTATGTACATAAAGCCGCCTTCTGTATTGTCTTGAAATATTTAATGATCTGCTGTTGGCAGTTATAACAAAAGCGGTCCATAATTGCTTCTAATGGGCCCAGTCCACGTTTGCCTACTGAGTTGTGGTGTTTAAAATAAATACGCTACTGTATTCTTGTTTAAAACTTGATCTGAAATGCTGTGTATTCTGGAGAATTGTTGTTGTTGTGAGTGCCTGCTGCCTCGAATTGGGCTGTTGCCCTGAATGTGTGCGGACGTTAAACCATTAAACCTTAAACCTAATTAATTAACTGGGTATTTTGCGTACTTCCAGTGTCCGCACAGTCAGGAGTGTCCGCGCTTAGCCAACGCCTCCAACCGCAAGGAGGTGGTCTGCCGCTTCCCCGTCGCCTTCAACCCGCTGCCCTTAATGTCGTACCGTGCGGCCCCCAAGAACACCGGGACCTTCTCCTACGTCGTCCTGGAAAAAGACCCCGTTATCCCGGCAACAACTAGCTCGACCACCGCCGACGCCCCGCCGGCACCGGCCCCCAACACCTGGCCGCGCGTGGTGCAGCCCCTCAAGAAGCGCCACCATCACGTCATCTGCCGGATGTGCTGTCCGGATGGGGAGCTGCGCGAGCTGATCAGCACCAAGTCCAAGCACCAGGACACCTTCTACGCACTGCTGCGCCGCTCCAAATGGGGCGACCGGGTGCCGCTGACCACCGCGGAAATGGCGGGGACCCGCAAGTTGGAGGGGGAGGAGGTGGAGCGGATGAACGAGGAAGAGGAGATGGACAGCGCGGAAGGGCCGGAAACGACAGAGTGGAGAGGGAACGATGACGAAGATGAGCCACGTTAAGAAAAATTCAGTGTGTAAAAAGTAAAAATTAAAGGCGGCGGTTGTGATGGGGATTTTTATTGTGTGGACGGTTATTCTTTGATATTTTTGTGGATTCGGTGGTTTCTGGGTTATGGGTACATAGTACTACATACCAATATTTTCGTAAATAAAGAATACGGATAACATGGTTGCCGGGAAAAACTTGTTGTGTTTCTCTGCTTATCAACGTTATATTTTCATGAAGTTTTTATTTTTCATCCGGCTAAATTTTATAAATTTTTAATTAACGACGTAGTGATTCCCTGCATCTAAAAAGTATCTAAAAAAAGTAAAAATCTGTATTTAAAAAGTTCTTAGTGATTTTAAAACGCATTTGTAATACGGAGTATGATGTGAAAATCTTAAAAAATTGCAGGAAAAATTACCGGTGTACTGTACTTATGAACAGTTTTTAAATGATTTTCTTTCGTATCAAGTTATTTACCCATTTTGTATTGACATGGAACGAGTTCTACTGCTTTATCGTGGTCAGCGGGCACTGCGTTTAAAAATTATTAATTTTCTAGGTTATCTGGGTGAACAGTAAATTTCGTTCAATAAATCTGTTGAAAATGAGAAGCTAACTTGTATGGGAACGATTAAATTAGAAGCTGCTATGTAAAATGCCATCTCGTTTATAACGTTCTAATGCTGTGTAAGTGGGGAAACGTAGAAAAGTGGCTTCAACTTCAATCTGCATATTCAACATCAGTTTACTGCTGTTATGATATTTTGTGCGGCTGGCCAGTGGCGCCCATGAGCCAATGAGGTTTCAGTAATTTAAGAAGTGAAATCTATGTTTTTTCTTTTTTGCGAATACAGTTCCTTGAACGACTAGACATCAAGCGTGAAGTTATTCCCGATATCACCAAAGAATTTAGTCGTAAAAAATTATACCCGGTATACAGTATACACAAGTCTCTCATGAGTCCATGACCGTTATTACTGATAGTTCAAATTCGAAAACTAATTAAACGAAGGAAAGTAGGGAATGGGATATTTTAGTAAGTCTCACAAGTCAGTTTATCATTTAGCATCATGAAGGATTTTATTGGTTGTTTTAAGTATAAAATAAATAATTATCATTTGCGATTCTGTGAGTGCACGCGTTGCAAGTTTCCGATAAAATTTTGTGAATTCAGTAGCATGTCGAATTTCCGGCGGAAGTGTGCGAGTATGAATGAGTACGGTGATATCCAACTGCGCGGCGCTGTACACACAAACGCTAGCCCGCCCACTGCGCGTTGAATCATGCGCAGATAGTAAAGCCGCCGCAAATCACGATTCGCCAGCGTGAACAAGTCCCGCCCCCTGCTCGCTCATACCGCCGTCCGTAGCCAGCCACAAAGCGCACCGATAAAAATCATTCATGCTTTTCTAAAGCCGTGTCAAACCAGCGAAAAGGCCGTTGGCGTTGTGGCCTGGTTTGTTAGTACGGTACGTTTCAGTTTGTAGCGTAATTTGATCTTTGCCACCGTAAAAATCTTTATCTCGCGATTACTCCACCGCGCACACGCCAACACAATTATTTTCCCCGCTGTCATCCGCGCCACTGATTAGCAGATTACCATCGCCAGCAACAATGTTTTATCAGTGGCTCTGTCCCCGGATGACTTTGACACGGTTTCTCAGCGTTTCGCGGACACAGTGCAGTTAAATAATCATTATGATGTTGGGTTCTTGGCGACATATTCCCTGATTGTTGTCCCGATTGATCATTGCGCAATATGCCGAAAGTGTTGGAGGATTATAGTGGGATGATGGGGTGATGCACCGGGACCGTGTGCGGAGTGTATGGGGCTGTGAAAGTGGACGGGGAGCGAGTGGGGTGACGACGGGACAGAATGTCCTTGGCCACGGGTTCCCGTCTGGACAAAGGGGATATAGCGGGGATTGTCTGTTATTTTGTGGCGGTGGTTGCCGTGGGAATATTTGTACGTACAGTATGATCAGTATGATACTATGCGCTCGTTCGTACGCTGTATGCATAATGAATTTCGATAATGCAACAGGGAAAACCGGTTAGCACAGGAAACAAAAATTCAATAAAAAATGATTTAATTGGCTGTCCTCATAATCGAATTCGCTGTCCTCCTCTATAGAAGTAAAAAAGAATTTTTTATGAGATTTTTCTTATTAAGAAAAATACAAGTATTGCTGATAATTGGTATTAAAGGATAATATTAGTAACGATTTTTTAACTGCATTTGTGTAATTTTATAATTGTTACTATTTTTTGTCTGAGATTGAGAAATGAGAATGATATTTGTTTTTTTATTTTAATCTGAGTATAAGTGTTTTATGGAGGAAATATGGATACGGAATTGATTAAAAAGTGATTTAATTGATATTTGTGATTAAAATTTCGAGCTAAAAACCTAAAGTTAAATTCTGCGGTGCAGGAAGACGAAAGTATCATTTGTTTTGAAATTTCTCTCATTCTTAATGTTTGGCGCAGGTGTTTAAGTAGATAGCCCAAATATAAATGACTACTAAAAAGTTCCGCGTCAGGGATCTGGGAATTTTACACTCGTTAGCGTTTCTTAAAATTAATAATATCCTGGTGTTTATTTTTAGTATTTGTTTTTATTGGCACCGTTTTTTGATAATTTTCTTGGGATTGTTGAAAAACGAAAATTTTCGCATCGGTGAGTCGGTGGCTACTTTCGTGAAACTTTTTACGATAAAGGGAAAGTCGAAAATAGTGGAAAAATTATTTTTAGCAGTATCGTCGATGTGAAAATTCTGGAAAGATTAGACGATTGTTTGCTTTATCAGGCTGTCAACGGGTTTTGATTGTTGTGAAATGTGACGTTGCTGGCGCCGCTGAAGTGGCCTTGAGTGGTGGCTTGATTACCTGTTGAACGTTGCTGATTGCCTTTTGTTGTTTTTTCCTAGTCATTATTCAAATCCAAACGGAACACCGTCTCGGGATTTTTCTTGGCCGATAAGGATACGTCGTGGTATATTGTAAGTAAATTGCTGTCATATGTATCAGCAAAAATTGTGAAAAAGCAACTGCGATTTTATTTTCTTGTGTATTACGGAGTGTTTTCCGTAGCGAATTTACATAGGCCACGAAGATATTGAACGCTACATCGCCGCTCATCAATATTTTTCGTAAATGGACAGTGATAATTTATAAGCGTGTTTTAGTCACAAAATATTTATATTATACGTTGAACTACGATAATTCATAAATAAAAAAATTTTTTCTCTTTCCCATTTTTCGAAAAATGAGCAAACGTTTCTCGCACAACGGTCTTAATGTAAAATCATCTGAAAACGTTGTGAAGTGGCTTTACGCTCTGGGCATTTGTTTTATGCGGCTGTCAGATTTGGGCCAAGAGATCTCGAAGTCTTACTGAGCACTGTGTTCTCTTATTTATGCCTTTTGTTATCGAATAAGTTTTCTAAGGTTTTTCGTTTTCATTTACGTTGAAAATATAAACTTTTGGGCGACTGTGTGAAGCGTGCATGATTCCCGATGATTAAGAAAATTATGTTTATTATTTATTAGGTTGGCGCTAGTCTGTTTGCCTCGAATATCGGCACAGAACATTTTATTGGATTGAGTGGCTCAGGTGCTGCTGTCGGTAGGTTTTACCTGCCGCAACTTCGGCGAATTAAAAACATTTATGGCATTTTTTTAGGAATGCTAAATCGAGTACTCGGACTGCACACTTTTTGATCCTAATGGCTGTCTAATTTCGCAGTCACAGTTAATATCCATGTGCTTTTTATTGCATAACATGGTAATTGTGATTTGTAAATAATGTGACGAACAATTTTCGAGTTTTTCTTGTTTTACAAGACTTGTGAGTAAATTAATTTATTTGTGTGATATTTCGGGAATTTAGTGCTTGAATTTGCTGGTTATTTACGGTATTAAAAAATCTCTGGTGTTTTCGGTTACTTTGTTTTTTTTTGCAACGAGACGATGCATAAATTTGAAACACCCATCTCGAGGATGAATTCTATGGATTTCTTTGCTGTTAAATCGTGTTCATACCTTTTACTTTTGTTTTCCAGGAATCAGTGTGGGAGCGTTCGAGATCAGTGTAGGTGATCACTTTACTCTGAATAGTTCAACGCTGTTTGTTATTCTCCGCGTCATTATCGCAGGGCTTGGTGGCGTTACAACTGCTGGGATGGGTGTTTCTTCCCGTCTACATCGCCAGTAAGGTAAGCGTGCGCGGATCTATTGCGTCATCGCGGCAGGGATGGCAACAGATGTTTGTGATTGCTGGGCGGAAGTGCGTAGCCGTCGATCGATCAGTAATGATGGTTTATGTCTGGGCAGGCCTACACACTTCCGGAGTACATCAAGAAGCGCTTCGGCGGATCACGCATCCGCGTGTATTTGGCCACGTTGTCGCTGATTCTCTACATCTTCACCAAGATTTCCGTACGTGCAGGAATATGTACAGGAATATGCTAAAATGTACCAACAAATGTTTTGAAAATTCTAGAGAAAAAACTGTCCATTTAATATTGATATAATTATCTCTTCATCTAGGAACCTTCTATATTCTATAGAAATATATATTCTCTACACTATAGAAATCAGAAAGTACTTGCTCCATCTAATCTTATTGGTGACTATGTCTGTTATTGGTTTCTTTCAGTAAAACGATAAATAAACGTAAATGACAAATAAATTCGTCAATGATACACCATTTTTTACTGAATGGTAAATCTTTAATTCTGTAATTTTTGTTACATAGTTATAATTGTTTGCGTTTTTTTTCAGCGGATTTTGAAGAGTGTAATGAGTACGTAATTTATTATTGTTGTTGAATTTTTTATTGAATTTTTCCTCTGTGTTTCTCCAGTTTTTTTAGCAAAAGCCCATCCACCTACCTTGCGCTGTTAGACACGAATTAAAATGATAAAAATTTGCATAAAACATTTTCTGTAAATAACGTAATTCGAAATTTGTTGAATTTTGATTTTGCCTCAATTCGGCGTCCATCCACGGTTTCGCTTTGCGCCTGAAGTTTTGGAACGAGTGGTAGTTATGTGCACGGGTCATTGGGACGGTTGTCAGCTGTCAGTTGTGTGCACGAAGTTTTGAATTTCTTTTTGTACATTCATTTTTGAATTGAAGAATTTAGAATTTCCCTATACGTTTGTCGCAGGTATAAGTTGGCTTTAAATCAATCACCGTACAGTGTTATGGAGTCATTTATTGTGACGGTGTGTGTGTGGTTGCGTAGTGGAATGGCTTTACTTGTCGACGAATGCCCAGCAGACTGTTCGAAAGCTCGTAGACGAAATAATAAAATTTTGTGAAGAGTGTTAAATTTTTAGTATTTATTTTTGGCGCATTGGCATAATTTTGTGAAGGAGGGAAAATTATAATTTAATTTTCCGATTACGCTATCCGCGGGATGTAGGATGTCGCTTGCAGAGACAACCGAATTCCCGCAAGGGACAGCGATAACATGAATATATCGCTTTATATAACAAGGAGCAATCCATTATTAAAAAACACAGCATACATACACACTAAATTATTAATAATACAAAAATATTTAATAAAATCAACAGTATTTTTATTCGAAATATTAGAACTGGATACTGTGGTGTTGGCTAATGACGCGGTCTTCAAAATAAAAGAAAATACGAAAATCCGGGAAATATGCCATCTTCCGTGCCCGCAGTCAACGTCCGTTTGATACGCATTTTCTAATACGTTTTCTTGTTCTTCAGGTGGCGTTGTACTCCGGAACACTCTTCATCCGACAGGGATTAGAATGGAATCAGTGGCTGGCCATTGCGCTGCTCCTGTCGATGACCGCCGTAACCGCCATCACCGGCGGTCTCAAAGCGTCAGTGAAAAACTCTTCTCTTAGTTGACTATGTGTTGGCGGTATCCGTCACTCCGTTCAGCGGTGCGAACAATTTAATTTCGTATTATATATGAATAAATAACAATGTAATTCTGCGAGAGTTCGTAAAAATGTTGGCATTTTGTCGTTCTCCAACTGTGGCGCGTTCTACCGCAGTATTTCCTAATTAATGTCATTTTTTCAGGGCGATTTACACGGAAGTCTTACAGGCCGTCAGCATCTTGTTGGGAGCATGTACGATATTTATCCTCGGTAAGTAAGTTTGTTGGTAATTGTTTTTCTGGTAATATAGATGGAAATTTTGAGCTTTTATTGAGAATATTAGGATGAAATTCCGTGTGATATGCAAATTGATGTGATGTTTTTTGGGAAAGAATTTCCGTTGTGTATACACTGTATAATTTTTTTGGGAATTTTTTTAATCGTTTTCTCGGCATAGTTTAAGGCAAATTTTCGATATACGTTTTAACTGTACTTCCGGTATCTGTGTGAATTTTCAGTGTTAACTTTGGTCTCATGCTGCTCGAAACTTTCGGATGAATTTGAATTTCGAAGTCGGAATTCATAATTCAAAATGAAGTTATGATTTTCCGTTTTAATTGTAAAAAATATGATTTACAAATAAATTAGATAAAATTAATCTTAATCTGATTTAGTATAAATTGTTATGGAATTTTTTCCAGCATTAATTCGCGTGGGCGGCTACAGTGGTTTGGTGGCGAGATACCCGTCGGCGGCAGCCAGCGGCAATTATTCCATGCCCAACACCACGTGCAGCCAGCCGTTGGACGACGCTTTTGTGATGCTGCGTGAGCCGGATGATCCCAATCTCCCGTGGCCGGGATTCCTCATCGGCCAGTCGGCCGTGTCCATCTGGTACTGGGCTGCCGATCAGGTCAGTGCGGTTTTCTGTTCTTCCTTAACTGCACGCTGTTTGTCGTATTTTTGTTTTGTTTGCCTATAGCGCCCACGTGATTTGGGTTGTGGCTCCTGTAATAGCTTCAACACATATGTATTTAAGTAGTAGTTTTTATACATTTATTTTTTTCCCCGTAATTTCGGCGAGCTTGTTTTTTGTGGCTCTTGAACTTCGTATTTGGTAAATATGTATATGCTGTATTCTCGATACTGACGTCGTGTAAGTATGTCAGCGGTTGTAGTGCAATGGCTATCAGAGGGCGAGTCCGTCTACCAGTGTGCTGATTACAGTAAAATGAAATAACTTTTGATTACATCTAAATGTTTTGGAATTTCCGGTGTAATCATTTATATTTTCTATGAAATTCCAGCTTAGCTCATGGCAGGTTTTCTGTTCCACGGTTTTTGGGTGATATCACTAGAAGTATTGTTAACACTGATTTGCCGTTTCCTCTGGACGAACTTTTTTCTCGTAGATGATGGTGCAGCGGGCGTTAGCAGCCAAAAGTCTGTCGCACGCACAAGGAGGCTGCATTCTCGCTGGGTATTTCAAGTTTGCCTTCCTTTTTGTTATGATCTTGCCGGGAATGATTGCTCGGACGCTGTGGCCAGGTACGGATGCCGGCAGATTGCTAAATGATTATGATTAAATCGATTATGATTTGGATTATCTTATTTTACCTCTCCCATTCTGTACAGATGGTTGATTATTTTATATTTTTACCTTTCCCATCCTGTACAGACAGTAGATACAGTACTTTATCCGAGGAAAACCTTCAAAACCGTGATCTTATTAAATAACTGCGGAAATGATTTTCATACAGTACTTAATCTAAAATTAAGATTGACCAATTAATTCAGTTTAAAATTAAAATTTGAAATTTGGATTCAGTAATCGTTAATTTAGAATTGGAAATTTTCGATTTGGAATAAAAAGTAATTTTATTTTATTTAAACCAAGGGTTGAAAATTTTAACTGACGGTGGAAAGTGGAAGATAACGAATAAATTTGCTGAAATGAGCAGGAATTTTAAACTTGATTTCTTATAGCTTATAAGAATTTTTATCGCATTGATAATGAATGATATTGCATTAATTAATTGAATAGTTGTAATAATTTTATTGCTTTTCAATTTTTTTGTAAAGAAAGTTTTTGTAGGGAAAAATCATTAGAATGAATAATGGAATTTATTCTGTTAGATGTGATCGCCTGCTCGAATCCGGAGGCGTGCTACGCCCTGTGCGAGAACCGGCGCGGCTGCAGCGACATGGCCTATCCCTGGCTGGTGACGGAGCTGCTGCCGTCGGGCGTCCGCGGCCTGATGCTGGCCGTCATGCTGTCCGCCCTCGTCTCCGATCTCATCTCCATCTTCAACTCCGCCTCGGCGCTCTTCACCATCGACATCTGGAGTAAGGTGCGCGCCAAGGCCGGCACTATGGAGATCCTCATCGTCGGCCGGCTCTTCAATCTCGTGCTCCTCCTCATCTCCGTCATCTGGCTGCCCTTCATCCAACAGATGCAAGGTAAATCACGGGGCTGGATGTTTTTGGTGGGAATTCAGAAAAAAAGTTTCCGGGAAAATTTTTAAAAAAAATCAAAATTAACTTTCCGAGAAAAAAGTTGAATCGTCAAGCTTTATATTGTTTATCTTATTTAATTTAGATAATTCGATTGTTCAAAACTTTTTACGTAGCATTTAACAAATTAGAATTTATATGCATCATCGGAAAGACACATATATATTTTTTACATATATAACACACACATATATAGATTTTGCTGTATATTTCTTGTTAAAATTCAGGAAAAAATCGTCCGGGAAAATCTTTAGGAAACTCGTCAGTATTGTGTTTATCTTATCAGATTTAAGTGATTTGTTTGAATAAAACTATTTTACGTCGCATTAATTTTAAGAAATTGGAATACTATATGAGTCATAGGAAATATAAAATTTTAATAAATTCACAGTAAAAAGATAGTAACAGTTTAGTTAACTTCGAAGGAATTTAAATGATCAAACGTCTGCAAACTAGTCTTCTCGCTGCATTTGTGACTGTCTTTTCTCTGTTTCTGGAAACGTAGTGGAATGGCCTTGAGTTCCTTATATGTCTCCTGATGCGCGTTCGTTACGAATACATAATAGCAGCACATAAATAATGCTGCTGGTGATAATGCTTTCGAAATCTGCCTTTTTTGTTGCCATCTATGTAAATAATAAACCGAAATAAATGAAATAAGTTATTTTGGATAATGCATAAAGAATAAACTGAAAAACTTAATTAATTCGAAACCTGAATAAACAGTGGTTAATTTGCTATCACGGTTGAGCTGGTGAGCAACTTTTGTGGTCAAATACTGTAATTATTGCTGTTAATGATTTGTTTGAATAAAACTATTTTACGTCGCATTAATTTTAAGAAATTGGAATACTATATGAGTCATAGGAAATATAAAATTTTAATAAATTCACAGTAAAAAGATAGTAACAGTTTAGTTAACTTCGAAGGAATTTAAATGATCAAACGTCTGCAAACTAGTCTTCTCGCTGCATTTGTGACTGTCTTTTCTCTGTTTCTGGAAACGTAGTGGAATGGCCTTGAGTTCCTTATATGTCTCCTGATGCGCGTTCGTTACGAATACATAATAGCAGCACATAAATAATGCTGCTGGTGATAATGCTTTCGAAATCTGCCTTTTTTGTTGCCATCTATGTAAATAATAAACCGAAATAAATGAAATAAGTTATCCTTTATAATAAAAGATTAAGAGGGGGCGTGACCAGTGTGTCTGTCAAATCCCCCAGAATCGCAGAGTGGATCAATATTCAACATTTACGGATCATTCGATAGCGCTGATTTCGTAGATGAGCCCGCAACTTTCGGATTTCAAAAAACAAACATCGGTTGAGAGAAAACTTGAAAAAACCCTATCATACAAAGTCTACGGAACCCCAACACAGCCAATCAGCGAAGACTTAAAGTAACTGCCTTGCTGCAGAGCTTGCGCGGGTTATATCGTGAAACAAAATTCGAAAAATTTTGTTTGTTTTGATGTATTTGGTCTGCAATGGCTTTAAGAAACATTATATTAACAGCGGTGGGTTTAAGGATAATAAAAATTTAGGCACAAGAAAGATTTAAGTTATTTTGACAACCGAACGCACAAACGACCCAGGGAACTTAGGGAAGTGTCCCAAGTGAGAGGTGCATGCGTCGCGAATCTTGCTGGCAGCCTGGCAGTACCAATTATCAAGTAGCTGCGGGATGACGGTGGCTGCTTGATACTTAGGTAAAAGGCAGTGTTTTGCGGTAGTTTTAACTTAATCATTTCTCTGTTGACACTGTTTCTTTAGTTTCGTATTATACCGATGAAAGACGGTATTTTTTAAAATTAGTAATGAAAAACGGATATTTACAGAAGGCGAAACGGAGCTGCTGCGCGAGCGGAGCTCGCTAAGCAGGAGGAGCAGCAATCAAGTGAGACATCGTTTGGCAGTTTTTTTCTTACAGTTTATCAGCCAGCTCTGCAAGACTGCAACAATTGAACCTTTTATAGTTAGTTAAGTATTAAGTAGTTAGTTGGTGTGGGATTGCCACTTGCCGCTGGAAAAAAATCACTTACCGTAATTATCGAATTTGCACCCCTGGGGTGCAAAAGTTCAAACGTCCTGGAGTAGGGGGTCTTATTTCGGGGAGGAGGCGTTATTTCTGGGGGTGGTACTATTTTTCAAAGGGTATTTTTTAGAAGGGGACGTTTATTTTTCAAACAACTGCGCATTCTGTTCCATTGAAATTGAACGCAGTAGATACCGGTGTTTGCAGTTTCAGAACCTTACGAGCAGCATTCTGAAGCATAGCACCGAATTATTTTTGTGACCGTTTACTGTTTATTAATTACATCATAGCAGTTATTATGAAGCAATTGGCCTTATATCTATCATTTCGTGGCGCTTAACATTTAATAACACCCCCATGGGAGGCAAATTCGGGGAGGAGCTATTTTTCAAACGGGTTATGGGAGGGGGCTTACTTATTACGGAGAGTGCCTTATTATGCGGGGAGGTGCAAATTCGATAATTACGGTAATTCGGTAATAACTTAGTTTTTGTCAGCGAAGTTAACTGTATTAGCAAATGCGGTAATTTTATTTTAACTGCATTTATCATCAGGCAGCAGTCGATTTCCTCTGCGCACTTTGCGCGGTGTCAATATACTACCGTAGAAGTATAGGTAATTTTACCAGTACACTTGCAAGTTGCAACACATAATCGAATTTAAAATATAGAATTTATAATTATGATCCGTATTCTTCTTATTAGTACAGTATCTCAATCATAATTTGAGTCTTAGCAGCCTGTATATAACGTAAATTATTTGTAGCTGATTTGTTCCGCGCAGTTTGCGCGGGGTCTACTAGTTTTGGATAATGCATAAAGAATAAACTGAAAAACTTAATTAATTCGAAACCTGAATAAACAGTGGTTAATTTGCTATCACGGTTGAGCTGGTGAGCAACTTTTGTGGTCAAATACTGTAATTATTGCTGTTAATCCCGTGAACCTCTCTACAGTTGGGTTTATTGATTTTATTTATTCAGTTACTTATTTTATGATTTTTCTTTTTTGATTTGCTCGTGAAAATTCTTTTTATTCCCGTTACTACATAAATTATTTTTAGTTTTCAGTTTTGCAGTAAATTTTGAATTAAAACGGAATGACTTTCTTCCAGTAGGTTGGATAATCTTCAGCCGTTGTGAAACAAATCCGGTTTTTGGTATAACACTAACAGTTATTTTTTTTCGGCAGGCGGTCAATTATTTTTCTACATCAAAGCCATCGCTTCCTATTTATCGCCGCCCATCGGTGCGGTGTACATTCTGGCCATTTCCTGGCGGCGCTGCAACGAACAAGGCGCCTTCTACGGCCTCTTATCCGGGTTGTTGGTCGGCATCACCCGCATGGTGCTGGATTTCGTCTACCGCGCGCCGGAGTGCGGCCAGCCGGATTTGCGACCACTTATCACGAAAACTTCCACTACATGTATTTCGCGTGCTTCCTTTTCCTGATGTCGTTGCTGGTGACGATCGTGGTTTCGCTTCTGACACCGCCGCCGTCCAAGGCGCGATTGGTGCGCACGACGTTCAAGACGCGGTTTGACGAAACCGCACGCGATGATGATTTCCAGGTACTTTTAGCAATTACTGTGTACAACCTTGAATTTTCCTTTGTTATTACAAAATTTGTAATACCGCCGATTTTTTTTATATTTTATTTTATTTTTCACTGGGCCTTATTTACGTTCTTCGTTTATTTATTTGAATTTTTATTGTTGTACAATGGAGATTTGTGCAATTTAGTTAGCTTTTTTTCTGCTGGTAATTTAAATATTAATGTGGTAGTTTCTGTTGAATGCTTTTATTAAATCTTAAGTGCACCTTAATTTATCGCCTTTAATTTTGTGCGATTCAGCGTAGTATGAGGGCTTGATTTCAACGCAACGTGACGGTACACCAGTTGAAATTAATTTAGTTTCACTTGAATCTTTGAAGTTTTTTATTTGAGTTTATTTTTAATATCTTATTTTTTATTGCTGATTCGTTAAGTTTGTTTAATATAATGGCGCTGAAATTTGATATTTAATTTTCTTTTAATCGTGAGTGCAAAAAGTGGATAGCTGATATTAATGCGGTACCGGAATTAGCAGTGTTATTTGTTTTATTTGTTCCCTAGTATGATCGCAAAAAGAGCTTGAATGTGACGACATTAGAAGACGTGGTCAGCCATCACGGCCACCTCCCGCCGCTGAACGAGTCCATCACGCCGGAGCGCACCGGGAGCCGTGGTTCGAATATCAACGAGGCGTATGCCGATGAGGAGGTCATGCTGGATAAGAAGCGCTACAGCGAAGATATCCCGTTGGGTAAGCTGCGCAACGGGCGCTCCTCCGACGGCCAGACGCTGGTTAACGGCCACGCTGACGGCCAACCACCGCCCGCCACGTGTCTGATGTATCTGGAAAAGTTTGCCAATTGGTTCTGTGGGTTTTCCAAGCTTTCCAGGGCGGAAAAAGAGGAACACGTGGTGAGTTGTAAATTGCAATGAGACATTTTTCAAAAATGTGATAAAACGGTCAACGATTATTAAAAATTAAAATGTGTGGGGCACGTTGTCTATTTGAAAGATCTGATGTGTTCCCTTTTTACAGTTGTATTACAGTTATGTTAATAAATACGAGGACAATTGGGTGCTGTGAACATACCCTTCACGATTAGGGTGCGATGAACACCCGGGAACTAACTTTTCAGAAAATTTTCTTTACTCAAGTATTTTCACCGTCTGTTTCGACAAATTACGGTCCACAAAAATTTATCGTATTTTCAAACCCATTTTAGAAGTAATAAGTAATGTGCACGAAACTTCCATCCTTTTCAGTATGAACAGTACGAGGACAGCAGCGTTGCGAGCTGCAGAACTAGTCGGATGTTCATTGCACCCTAATCGTGAAGGGTATGTTCACAGCACCCTATTGTCCTCGTATTTTAAATTTAAAGCGATATTATTAATTTTTCATCTATTTTACTGCGCGTTTTTCAGGCATAGTCGGGATTAGTATTTTCGGTTTATTTTAGTAAATGCACGAAAATAATTGTGGTGCAGTTAATTATAATTAAAAAATTTGAATTAATTTCGTTTCTTAAGCTTTCCATATTTTTCGTGGGATGGCATGTTCAAGATGTAGCCTTACCCGTAACTGTAAAGTGTCGTAGTGAGATGGCTTCTGTAACTGCATGGGTTTCCTCAAACGTTTGATTGGAACGTTAAAATAATTTACGTTGCGATTCTTGGTGACCTGCTTCTGATTTGAAAATCCTATAAGTGTTTTGTATTTTTTCTACTGAATTTTTTTGACGATTCTTGTTTTTTGTAGGAACATCTGGCCAAAGTTTCCTCCCTGCATCAGGACCGGCGTGCCCGCTGGTTGTTGAACGTTAATTTATTCGTTCTTCTCAGTTTGGTGATATTCGTCTTTGTCTTCTTCTCCACCGGTCTGCATGACCTGATCGTCCATGCCGACGGGGGGAGGTTGTTTTCCATGGCTTTCAACCTGACCAATATCACTTCGCGAGCGTGATACACTTGTTGACTGTGGTTATTACTTTCTACCTCTTTTAACTGTGCGTCCCGGTGATGGAACAGAATCTTCCGATTTTATGTCTGTCTACCTCATTTAATTTCATATTCGGAAAGACGTTTGAAAACCGTGCAGATGTCGGTTAATTTATTGGGGCAGTTTTGCACAATCGAAATGAAACCGAATAGCGGGGAAGTTTGAACCCTCTGGTGGTTCGCGTTGCGTGTAAAAGAAGATACGGTGACTGACTCGAAATGCTGATTTAGCCGTGGTGTGGCAATACATTTTTATTGCATTCCAGGCTAGTCCTGATATTTAATTTCGGGATATTATAATTTTTTGAAGCTTTTGCATTTTTTTGATTCTGTTGCCCGTTTTCCAAGATTTTCTTAAAACATGTTAATTACATAGATTCTCAAAAAATTCAGTTCACGGGCGAGTTCGTGCGCTAGCGACGAAATTCGTTATCTCTTCGTTACTTACTTACATTCTACCGTAAAAACAGTAATAATATTTTTTGTTTAATAATATTTTCTGTTCGACCTCCTTTTTTGCGGTGTGGAATCATCGTCCAATTAAATTTTCTTTTTTTCCTTACCGGTTATCGTATTTTTTAATAACGAGCTTTCTGTGCGTTGTTCTGACTGATTGTACGCAGCAAATCCAAACACTGTCCAATCTAAATCAGTAGCAAAGAATAAAAAATAAATTACTGCACTGGTGTCAGTCGATTTAATTTCGATTATTTAATAAAGAATCAGAATTTATTAAATAAGTAATAAAAGACAGTGTCAAATTGTCAATTATAAAAAATAAAAAGTACTTCGTTTATTAAAGCAATGTAAACTTGGCCCCTTACAATTAAATATTGACTGATTTCTCAATTTCTTTTTGAATTTTAAGTCATGTACAGTAATAGGTGTGGCAATTTTTATTCTACATATTAATACAGGATAATATCTTCCTTGTAAATAAAATAATTTAAATAAAATTTCGCATGAACTCGATCGATGTTGTGTCACGCAGTTCAAAGGTACGCAGCATGCAGTGACTATTCTGATTTTGATTTGTCAGATTTTTTACATTTTCCTTTGAATTTTCAAAAAAACAGCGATGCTGCACTTACCTAAAACATCATCTACATAATTATTGTAATTGGCATAAGTAAGGAAAATATCTGAAAATTCAAAAAAAATATGATGTAAACTATCAAAAAGACCCGGCCTTAAAATTATTCTTTTCTTTTCCGCGGAGCGCCGATCGAACCGCTGGTGAATATTAATAAGCGGTGTCCAGCTGCATTGGATTGCCCGTACAAAAAATTAAAAAACCACGGGCTTCAAATATTCTCGTTGAAAAAGAACCGAATGTTGGGTCAACGCTACATATGGATAATATTTCTTTGAAAATAATTTGCGCGTATAATTTGTCGGCCAAATATAAACATGTTTATAACTTATAGAGTTCGGTTTGAAATCCAGGAGATAGGCGATCGCCTGTGCATTGTACTTGCGTATAACGTATTCGATGTGCGCAACATGAACAATTAGAACTCAATTGAAATTATTTAATAAACTATTCTTTATTTATTCCTATATCGATTCTCTAATGTATTGTGTGAATTGCCACGGAAAGTGTAAACGTAACATGCACAGAGAAAAAAAACTTGTTTAGATCGTCGTCGAATTAATTTATACCGAATAAACGAGCCTGAATAAACACATGATAACGTAACCAAATGCTTATCAACATATGCAAGTTGTATAAACACGTGAATCAATTATTAAAATAGTTTAATTTATTGCTGCAAATTTTTAAAGAATTTTTATTGTTGTTTTCAACTGCACTGCATGTGTCCGCGCTAAGAGCCAAATAGTAAGATTTCGTTTTCCTTAACGGCTGGGCCGTTCAACGTAGGTTAGTGGCTAAGGCATTAGAGCTTGTTCTGGACACAACACGGTGACGATAACGGTGATGACTCACCACAAACTCATCGTTTTCTTGCTTCTATCGTATCGTTACGGTCGTTGTGAACACGATAAAACGCCCTGATATCGTTGTTCTTTCCCGGTAGCTCCCAGCTGCTAACAGAAGTGGCAAACTACCGTTGTGCCACAAGAAACTAGCACAAAAAACATTCCTCTATTTTTTAAAATAACTAAAAGAGCAGTTACTACAAAGAAAACGTTTCAAAAGAATTTTTTTCGAGCAACAGAAAGATCGGAAGTAGCGTGTGTACTCAAACTGCGACCCCATAAGCGGCTGTCACGTCCCTGCTCATCCACTCCAGTAATTTTATTTACAGCCAGACCGAACCGAGCCCGAGCCGACTTCGAGTCTATCGTTATCGTTGTTTTTAGCGAACAAGCAAACTCTCGTACGATGAAGATTACCGTCACGGTAACCGATCGCCATCGTCACCGTGGTGTGTCTAGAACAAGCTCTAATAGTTAGAGTGCAAATACGGTAGACACTAGGCAGTAGGTGCAGTGCTGTAGTAAGTAAAGTAGCGTAAAGTACTTCGTACTCGTACTCAGTAGAGCGCGCTGCAAAGCCTTCCGTACATAGGAGTTTATCAGTCGTACCAGTAGCGGGGGCCGCCAAGCCCGGCTGATATACTCGCATGTGCGGCACCGGCGAAGCCGGTTGCCGTACATGTGAGTTTATCAGTCGTACCAGTAGCGGGGGCCGCCAAGCCCGGCTGATATACTCGCATGTGCGGCACCGGCCAAGCCGGTTGCCGTACATGTGAGTTTATCAGTCGTACCAGTAGCGGGGGCCGCCAAGCCCGGCTGATATACTCGCATGTGCGGCACCGGCCAAGCCGGTTGCCGTACATGTGAGTTTATCAGTCGTACCAGTAGCGGGGGCCGCCAAGCCCGGCTGATATACTCGCATGTGCGGCACCGGCCAAGCCGGTTGCCGTACATGTGAGTTTATCAGTCGTACCAGTAGCGGGGGCCGCCAAGCCCGGCTGATATACTCGCATGTGCGGCACCGGCCAAGCCGGTTGCCGTACATGTGAGTTTATCAGTCGTACCAGTAGCGGGGCCGCCAAGCCCGGCTGATATACTCGCATGTGCGGCACCGGCCAAGCCGGTTGCCGTACATGTGAGTTTATCAGTCGTACCAGTAGCGGGGGCCGCCAAGCCCGGCTGATATACTCGCATGTGCGGCACCGGCCAAGCCGGTTGCCGTACATGTGAGTTTATCAGTCGTACCAGTAGCGGGGCCGCCAAGCCCGGCTGATATACTCGCATGTGCGGCACCGGCCAAGCCGGTTGCCGTACATGTGAGTTTATCAATCGTACCAGTAGCGGGGCCGCCAAGCCCGGCTGATATACTCGCATGTGCGGCACCGGCCAAGCCGGTTGCCGTACATGTGAGTTTATCAGTCGTACCAGTAGCGGGGGCCGCCAAGCCCGGCTGATATACTCGCATGTGCGGCACCGGCCAAGCCGGTTGCCGTACATGTGAGTTTATCAGTCGTACCAGTAGCGGGGCCGCCAAGCCCGGCTGATATACTCGCATGTGCGGCACCGGCCAAGCCGGTTGCCGTACATGTGAGTTTATCAATCGTACCAGTAGCGGGGCCGCCAAGCCCGGCTGATATACTCGCATGTGCGGCACCGGCCAAGCCGGTTGCCGTACATGTGAGTTTATCAGTCGTACCAATAGCAGGGGCCGCCAAGCCCGGCTGATATACTCGCATGTGCGGCACCGGCCAAGCCGGTTGCCGTACATGTGAGTTTATCAGTCGTACCAGTAGCGGGGGCCGCCAAGCCCGGCTGATATACTCGCATGTGCGGCACCGGCCAAGCCGGTTGCCGTACATGTGAGTTATCAATCGTACCAGTAGCAGGGGCCGCCAAGCCCGGCTGATATACTCGCATGTGCGGCACCGGCCAAGCCGGTTGCCGTACATGTGAGTTATCAATCGTACCAGTAGCGGGGCCGCCAAGCCCGGCTGATATACTCGCATGTGCGGCACCGGCCAAGCCGGTTGCCGTACATGTGGTTATCAATCGTACCAGTAGCGGGGGCCGCCAAGCCCGGCTGATATACTCGCATGTGCGGCACCGGCCAAGCCGGTTGCCGTACATGTGGTTATCAATCGTACCAGCAGGGGCCGCCAAGCCCGGCTGATATACTCGCATGTGCGGCACCGGCCAAGCCGGTTGCCGTACATGTGAGTTTATCAGTCGTACCAGTAGCGGGGGCCGCCAAGCCCGGCTGATATACTCGCATGTGCGGCACCGGCCAAGCCGGTTGCCGTACATGTGGTTATCAATCGTACCAATAGCAGGGGCCGCCAAGCCCGGCTGATATACTCGCATGTGCGGCACCGGCCAAGCCGGTTGCCGTACATGTGAGTTTATCAGTCGTACCAGTAGCGGGGGCCGCCAAGCCCGGCTGATATACTCGCATGTGCGGCACCGGCCAAGCCGGTTGCCGTACATGTGAGTTGCTGAACGTAAGGCAGCGGTACCCCTAGTTGAAGGCGGTTTTGTTTCGGCCACATTTACAGTACTCTGTACTGCTAGTTTTTTTACTTACTCTTGTAAAAAATTTTTCCCCTATTTCTTATTTTGTGCTGGAACTCAAACGGTTTTGAGGTTATAGTTTAAAATCTGAGACAGAGCAAGCGCGGAACTGACTCGCGTGATCTTCGGTATACCAGCGCTTGCTCGATGCGGCGCTGCTGATCGATACAAAGACAGCCGTAGAAGCAGGCGCGCTGAATGATCCTAAGAGCGTCTGGTAATTTTGCGACGATACAGCAATAAAATTGACTAGCTAGCTTGGCAGATTTTCTTTGTGGTCTTTTATCAGAGTCCTAATGAAAACATCTATCTCTTGTCCGAACGGTTACTCGCGTTCGGGCAAGAGATAGATGTAGAAATTCATCGGATAACTGCAATATATTGCGACTACTGTGATAATGGGAATCACATGGTAATATAGAGTGCGATCTCTCAAACAAAGTTCTTATTATGCTGTGCATTTATTTTTATTACATTCCAGTCAGATTCTGGAAAGTAATTTCTGGTTTGGATTTAAGCTTTTGTTCTTCTTTCAAACTTTTTTAATTAAAATTTGAAAAGTCAAGCCGCAGTTTTTGCTGTTGAAATTCCTCTTAACAACAGAAAATTTGAGAGGTTGATGATGGCGAGTATCTGATCAGGCAATGCACTGCGTGTTAAAATTTCTACCATTTAATACAATAAGGAGACTG